ACAGAGGGCCAGCCTAGAGCCACCGCTTTGGAACCATATTGAGGAATGGGGCTGTGGGGCGGGGCTCCCACCACCCCAGGGATCCTTGGCAGGGGATCTGAGAGCGCAGGTGGGGGGGGCACCAGGCTGCTTGAGGAGGGTGCAGGGGAATGGGGGGGGGCAGAGGGAAAGTGTCAGCGGTAGGATATTGTAAAGGGAAAGGGAAGGGAAAATGGGGGGGCAGGTGACTGTAGGGACTGGGCCAGATGGGGAGACTGGATAGTGTGGAAGGAGGAGAGTGGAGAGGCATCTGGGTTCTCAGAGGAGGCGGCAAGTCCCCTCCCAGCAGCCAGCGGGGCGCTCTGTATTTCTGCTTCAGCTGTCACCTTGAATTTGTCCCTAAAGATGCTCACGCACGCTTTGATGTCGGCAGCTTCCCCAAACAAGGCTCAAAAGAGACCAGGCAAATAAATCTACCTCCCACAGATTTTTAATTTTAAAAAAATCACATGGGTGGTAAGCCGATCTCGTGACCCAACTCATGATTTCTGAATGCCTGGGGCTGGCGATCCGGTAATTGCTTGGCGGTTCCGGCTTTGCCAGAACAGGGAGGAGAGGAAGAGGGCCACATGGATGGGATAGTGAACAGGCCAACCAGGGGTGATGCCTAATATGCTCCCCTCGGGTACGTCTACAAAGCCAGCGGCAGCGAGCCGCCAACCCAGCTCAACAGACTCAGGCTTAAGGGGCTCGCACATCGGCGCTAAACACAGCTGTGTAGACAGCACTTTTAAGCTGAGGCTCAGGTTGGAGCCTGGCTCTGACTCTTGCCCCCTCCCTAGGCCTCAGAGCCCAAGCTGCAATGTCTACACAGCTAAGCACGAGCCCGGCAAGATCAAGTCTGTTCACCCGGGCACCCTCTGTGCCGTGGGAGTTGTAAGACAAGCCACAAAAAAGCCATGGACTCATTAAAACATGCAGTGTATTTTCCAGGCTGCGGGGGGGGGGGGGGGGGGGGGGGGGGGGGGGGGGCGGAGAGGAGGGAATCAACGTTTCTTTTTTAAAACTTTTTGTAGCTTTTCATGAAAACGCTGAAACATTTTTTATGTTTTCAATTTTTCGACAAAAACCTGAAAAAAGTGGGTGAAAATGGAAATTTCCTCGAGAAAATTTCTGTTGAGTCAAAAAGCCATTTTTCATAACACCTCCTCCCCTCCTCCCCCGCAAAAAAAAGAACATTTTTTTACTCTCTCAAGTTTCCCAAGAATGGCAGTTCCCAACTTGCGCTGATGTACCCACGCTAGCTCCGCTGGAGCTAGCACACTACAAATAGCAGCGTCGCTGGGATAGTACAGGCAGTGGCTGGGGCTAGCCAGCCGAGTACATACCCAGGGGCTCAGGCTGCACTGTACTCAGACCAGGGGCGCCAGAACAGGGGGGCCCAGGGAGTCATGGCCCCATCACTTTTTACCGGCCGTAAGGGCAAGCAACTGGGGGAGAGGGGGTGAAAAGGACTGAGTGGGGGATGGGGTCTTGGGGGGAAGAGGTGGTGCAGGGCATGGCCTCAGGGGAAGAGGTGGTGCAGGGCAGGGACTCAGGGGAAGGGGTGGCGTGGAGGGGCAGGAACACAGTTCGGGCACTAGTGACTCCCCCACTTTTAAGGAGCTTCCGTCGCCCCAACTCAGACAGCTGGCCGAAGCTGCCGCCTGTGCTCCCCCCAGCTCCACGGCTAGCTTTAGTGCACTAGGAGAAGCAGTGCTGCCGTGGGTATGTCTACGGGAGCTGGGAATTACACACTCGGCTCCAAGTGCAGACAAAGCCTACGAGGAATAATGGACCTGGAAAATTGGAAAACCACATTTGTTTTGCTCAACAAAAGAACCACACAAGGTCACAAAACACCCCCCAACAGAACCCTACAATTTCAATTAAAAGAAGGATTTGGGGGGGAGGAGGGGGAAATTTGGCTGCTTTTTGAAAGTTTAAAACAAAACGCAAAACACTTTCCTTTTTGAATTAAAAAATATCCCCGTGTTTCACACACCCCAGTGGCCAGAAACTCATGCCTCGTGCATTCAGTTAGATCTTTGACGGACAGAAACCTTCAATCTTCCTTCAAAGTCCAAGCTGGTTTTGTGCATTCAAGACACAACATCATGATTCAAGCTGCTCACAAAACACAGCATTACCAACCCCAAGCATCCCAAAATCACAAGGCTGGCTAAAAAAATCATGAAATTTTTTTAAACCAATAATCAATGTCGTGTTCTTTTTCCCTGCTGGGTATTGAGCTGGTAGGGCTCGTGTTTTCAAGCTTTAATCTGCTACCACAAAGGCTAGAAATTTATTCTTTTTTTTTTAAACAAGAAAACCAAGATTCTCGCATAATCACTTGACTCCAGGAGCTGAGGCTTAAAGAAAAACACCAAATATCGTGAGACTCAGGATAAAGCCATGAGAGTTGGAAACATGGCAAAATGCGGGGCAGGAGGGAGCAGGGATCTGTCAAAATTCTTGTGAAAAATTCCAAATTTAGAAAATTCAGACCAGCTCTAACCGTGATGCCTGGTAAGCCATCACGAGCTGGGGGAGCATGAAATGAGAACATCGGTTTAGCACTGTCAGCGTGCATACGAGTGAGAGAATGACCATGTCTCCCTCTAGAGGCTGGCTCAGGGTAGGTTAAGAGCCTGCTACTGACTCACATCTAATTGTGTCATTCCTTTAGTTTGCGTGGTAGAGGTTTACACAACGTCTATCAACATGAAAAGTCCTGCAACGCTGTAAGCTCTTCAGGTCAGGGGCTGGGTGTATATTTTTGCATGGGACCTCCATCTCAGTCGGGGGCTCGTAGGAACTACTGGAATACAAATAATATACAACAATATTGCTCCCTGCAATGCTGGCTCTTGCAATGAAATAAAAGGACTGAGATGCAACTTCCGCCAGTGCCTTTTTCGGAAAACAGACCCATGCCCAGTCATTTTCTTGTTTCCCTTTCAACATTCTTCAGTGATAGTTAATTTCACAGCCCATAGAACAGAGATGATCCTTATTCTTCCACTGAATGTAACTCAATGAGATTCTTTCCAGCCTATTTCCCCAGATGCACGGTTGATTTTCTAATGTTCCCCCAAATACAGCAATCCTTCAGCTCGCTCCATTTTAAATAGTCTCTTTGCTGGTTTCTTTTCCTTCTGCACACAGCAGGGTTGTAGGCAAGTAACTGAGAATCCCTGTTTTGAGTCAGCCCCTTGCATGTTTCTTGACTGCTCTGACAGTGGCAGGACTGTGCTCTGCATGGATAGAAACCTACCAGCAGCACAAGTGAAGGTGGAGGATAGAATCCTACCATACAATGTGCCTGCTATCAAAATACAGCTGGGCCTCAATGGTCTATTCAGAAGCCCAGGGCCGTGCTTAAGAAGTAAATAAGTGACTCTAGTGCAGCTGCCTAAGGAAACGCAGCCTGGTAAACCAGTTAAAAGGCAATTTTACAGAGCAACGTAGGAAGCTGAGTTTCATTTATGGCACAAAGGAAAAATGGAGAACGCTGAAGACTAAATACTGATGCGGGAGAACTCAGCTGTTCCTGGTCCAGGGCACAGCAGCATCTTGCTATGAGCAGGAGGGATGCACCTAATTGGCTTTAAAAGAAAATCGGAGCCACCTTTTCTGTCGATTACTAAGGGTGAAATTCACCCATGTGTGGAAGCCCAGCATGAGGCCACTTCAGCCCCTGTGACAGGCACTTGCGGATTACTATTGCACTGGATGTAACTCTGCTGCAGGATTCGGCAACTCCCACCCAGACACTCCCACTGAGAGCCGGGGGGGGCGCTGGCCCGAGAGGGGCACAGAAACAGGGAGAAATAGCTTCACAGTCTTCTCCTCGCAGCCCATCTAAAGCTCCATTGCACAAATCCAGATCAGAGGGTGGGAGGGCCCAGGCGAGGAGCAGCCAGTGTCTGGGCAGTGGTTCCCCTCAGAAGATCCCTGCCAGAGCCGGTATTACTGTACCAGGGCCTGATGGTGCCTGGATCCTGACTAAACTGCTGCCAAGGAAACCAGGAGGCAGTATGCAGGCACAGGGCACTTGTGTCAACAGCCTGGGCTGGTGGCAAGATCTGGGTATGGGAACTCCCTGTCACTTCCACAAGAAGGAAAACCCATGAGTGCAAACATCCCCTGTGTGGATCATTCCTGCAGAGGCCTGCTTGCCTTACAGAAAAGTCCTACAGAATGTAACGGGTGAAACCAACAGGGTCCTTCAGAAATTATACTCTATAAATCCTATAGTGCCAGATCTTCAGCTGGTGTATATTGGCATAGCTGTGATTCACACCCGCTGAGGATCTGGCCCATGGAACTGAACAAAGCAGGAGATCCTCTCTCTAGAGTTTTAAAGGCCACTTATGGATTGTAGCAGAGAACTATAGCCCAGCACTATAATCCCACAGGAAGGTTATTCTCTGTTCAATTCTAGGGAATTTTCCCAGAAGGGTGGGACCCTGTGTGATTTATGATTTCTCTTACCTGTCATTTAATTCTGCTATTGAATGAGTAAAACATTTTGTGAGCCATTGGTATGCAGGATCCACTATCTATTAACACTTACTATTCTGCATTAAACTAGAACACAACAATCTATTCGAGTGCACAAATGAAAAAGCCCAACCCCTGATTCCAGTGCATCTCTGCTTACGGAAGTGAAGGCAAGAAACAGCATCATGGAGAAGTAACATCAGTCAAGAGATGAATCGGCTTCTTCAAATGACCCAGTCTCTACCTGCCTCTGCTCAAAGGACAGCACCAGAGAGACAGTGATTGACCATTAGGGGCAATGCTTTTAAACAGATGCCACTGCAAACATTTTAGCTCATCGTTAAACCTCAGGAACTAGTGACGGATTTTACCCTCAGGGTAATCCAGAGAGAGACAAGCTCTCAAGAAGAGGGAAAAAATGAGCATTACTGCCGACAACAAAGAATCGACATGACAGTGCGTCCATGACAACTTACCTTATCCCCTGGCTGTGGTCTCATAAGAGAGACTTGATCGTAGCCTCGTCGAACCAGAGCCCACAACGCATCAAGTTTGCCCTGGAATCAAACATACGTGACATGACCAACAATGCTTGAGAGAACAATGTGAAATTAAACGACAGTCGACTTGCTGTGATATTACTGTGTGTTTAACCGTCGGCACACAGGCTGGCCCCGAGGCCGCTGCTCTTTGTATACTCATTATTATCTGTCTGTGTATTTATAGCATGCCCATCAATGTAATACTGAGTGCCTAGGGGAACCAGCCATTGCACACAATGGAACAAATCCATCCGACTGGAGTTACATCAAGGATGCATCTGGTTTAATATGAACAATTAACATAGATCAGCAGGTGCAGTTAGGTGAACGGGGTTAGACAGCATTAAGAAAAGACTTGACGAAGAACCAAAGAAGCTTGTGGAAGTCTAATGATGGGTGGACCCATAAAGGAGAAGAGAACAGACTTGGCATAGATAAGCATCCAAAAGACGATCGCTTATTCAATTTTCATAACACTTTAAAATTCACTGGCCGTTCCCGTCGAGGATTTCAGTGTATGACACGGATATCGGTGAACCAACCCTGGGAGTTAAAGATGCATTATCATCAGCAGCATCAACTGAGACAGGTTAAGATTTTAAAAGTGTTTAGAAACCTAGAGATGCAGACAGGCACCTGACTCCCACTGATTTCAATGGTGCTTTTGAAAAGCCTTCTAGGTATCTTTCTGCACCGTTAGGTGCCTGAAGACCTTTAAAAATCTGACCCTAACTGGCTTTGCCAAGGCGCATACTGCATCTTTGGCACAGCTGGGCAGGAAGAGAGCTGAAATCTGTGAGTCCCAGTCCAGGGCCGTAACTACACGGCCGTCTTTCCCACCTCCTCTACATCGTCTGCCCCCTCTTGGGTGTGCATCGCCGAGCCGGTGCTGTCCTGAGAACAGATTCTGGGATTTCATGCTGGAATCCAATCAGTGCAGAGGGGCAAAGACGTTACCCAAGCCTTTGTTGCCTAGTGAGATGTCTAGTCTCAGAAATGGGGACCCCTACAATAGTTCTCCCACCCCACAGCCAACCATGAGAAATGTTGTGCTCAGGAACCTGTCCGTGGTAACATGCCTGGTAACATAAACAACCCATGCTTTAAAGCTGATGTGCAGACACATTACCTTGATTGGAGTGTACCACTTCCTCTGGGAAGGTGGCTTCCTCACATTGTGTTTCTTTGGCTTGGGCTCCCACGGCTCATACTCCTGCTCTGGCAATTTGATGACGGCGTTTTTGGGCTTCTCTAATTTGGCCCCTTCCTCCGTTGATCCTTTGTCTCCCCACCTCACCTGAAGTAGTAAGAGCACATTGTGGATGCAGAAGCTTCGGTGAGCAGTGCTGGCATACATCTTAACTAGACACGTCTATTATTTAATCTAGTTTCTATCAGTGTTTGTGAAACATGCACCCATTGCTCATGCCTCTGGGAGAACTGACCTTCTTGAAAGCAAAATTACTGTCACAACAATCCATCATGACATGCAGCCACTAACTAGTGAGGAAGGAAAATCCCCTAATTAATTACCAACAATCACCATAAAGAAGAAACTCCAAAAAATCAATTCCCCACCCAATTTCCCAGCCAGCTGTTTAGCCAGCAGGTGCCTCCCATCCAAATCTTTACTTGGGTGAAACCTAGGGCAGTCAGATGCATCTTGCACTAGACCCTGAAGGTCATCAGTCATGGTCTATCAAGGTTCCAGAGTCAAAGATCTTGCACTGAAAACAGCCCAGCAGCAATCTGCCAGAGTCTGCATCTTCTGTCAACACAAATGCCACGAATGGTCTCCCATGGCAGGGGAGTAGCTAATGTTCCTGAGTGGTCTCCACCAATAGCCCCAAGAGGGCACTGCAGCCCTCCAGCTTAGAGGTGACAAAAGTATCCAGGAATGAGGAAGAGCCCTGAAGGGTTCTTTTGAGCAGTGGCTCTCAGACTTGGTGGGCAGTTAGTCGTAGTTCACTAGACTAGGTTCCTCAGCAAAGGTCTCTCCATAAGTGCGTAGGAGAGGGCTGGATTTCTCCTAATAATACATCTCAATTCATGTCAATAATGGAAGATTACCTTTTTTAAATCTCAGGAAAAACTTCCTAACTGTACGAACAGTAGTCTAGTGGAACAGACTGCCTAGGGAGGTCGTGGAAGCTCCTCCACTGGAAGTTTTCAAAAGGAGGATGAAGTCCTCAAATCATGATTTAAAGACTTCAAGTTGCAGAGAATCCACCATTTACACTAGTTTAAACCTGCAAGTTTGTTTAGATACAACAAATCCCACATCTTGGCAGGTGATTAGACCAGATGACCCTTGCAGTCCCTTCTAACCCTATAGTTTTATGATTCTGCCCTTGAGTTCCAACTGACCTCAATGAGAGCTGTGTGAATGCATCCCAGGGCAGGATTTGCCCTATGCGGCTGCTTAGCCACTTGATTTCAAGAGTCAGAATCTCCCATGGCAAACTGTGCATCAGGTTTCAGTGCCTGATTGTAAAATCCTAACCCCTGAGCTAAGGAGCAATTACTTCTATTCAATTTGGCCAATTAGCGCTAGACCCTCAGCTGGTATAAATTGGCCTCACTCCATTGAAGTTATAGGACAAGACCCATTTACACCAGATGAGGATCTGATCCAATAAAGTGAAACTGTTTGGTCCTCATCCCATTCCTCAACCTGCAAATTTGCAATCGCTAATACTTCCAGACACAACTAATTGCACGATGCAAACGATGGCAGCTTGATGGCTGACTCCTGGGCTGGCAGGTGTGATTAGGTAGATGGGTCCTAATTAAAAACCAACCTCCCTATTCCATCATGATAACTCTGTAAAAAGCATTTTAAAAATGTCTTGCCGTGATTTTCAATTAAAAAGGTTCTGATTGTTTACTGCGACTCAGGAAACAAAAGCACCTGATACCTCCATCCTCTTAATTCCACCAACACCTCTGCCTCCGTAATAAGATGCGTCCACGGTTGGCCACTTTTTCTTTGGCAATCCATCTTCATCATCTGATTCCTGCGGGAAAGGAGAGTGATCGCTGTTGTTTTCATGCACACAGCATGGGATGTAAACAAGTGAACATCCTTCGGCCCTATCCCTGGCTATCTGGCTTTGTATGTTATATTTATGTGCTGACAGCAAACAAAAGCCTCTTGTCTCTGCAGCTGCAATTTCTCCTAGAGAAGCCAAAGCCGACTGTCTGTTCCCTTCTTCTCGTCTCTTCAGGCTGCTTTTATATACGGTCAAATATGCGTAAAGCTTCAAAAATCACAACTGCCTTTTAAGGGGGTAGAAGGCACAGTGGAGATGAATTGCACATTATACTGGCCTTGCTGCTATGTTCCATAGACTATGTCCAACACTTCACCAAATGAAACCCTTTCTTAGCTGTGCTTTGGGAACTGTAAGTTGCTAACAGGAGAAAAGGCACTCCCTGTGAGCTCACTAACACGCACTTCGGACCATTCTTTCCTCGCAGCTGTACCCGGCTCCTCTGCCCTGTTTGGTTCTTTGCAGCGACGGGCTCAGGCTGCAACCATTCAAATCAGGCACTGGATTTTGAACCTTCGGGGGCTTGGATCTGGCCCATCATAAAGACTGGGGCTGTTTTTTTAGCAAACCCAGCATGTGAAGGAGTCCAGATCTGGGTTCTCTTTCAGAGCCATTGTTCTTTCCTCGCTTAACCTAATTCAGTGCTGGTGAATGATCCTGCACCGACATCCCAGGAGACATGTTGCAGGGTCCTCAGCTGAGGTACATTACTGGAGCTTCATTGCCTCCAACTCAATTTACCCCACCTGCGGATCATTGAACTGATTTCAGTGGAGCTGGGCCGATTTCTACCAGCTGAAGGTCTGACCCCGACACCTGCTGCTGGTGCACAGAATGTGTATGACACAGAGAAGGGCTCAGCAAGGTCTCTCCACAGTACCCCCTCCCCCACCCTCAGGCCTCACGTTAAATTGCCACAGAGTTGCTGCTCGGGACAAATCACAGGCTCACAAAGACAGTAATGGTGGCCTTTGGCAACCTCAAAATGGCAGCTGTGGTTCCCTCCTCAGATGGATGCCAAGTTACAGCAAGTTAGCAGCCAACTGCAGCCTGCTTGTGTGGGTTAGGCAGTTATTTTTGCCACGGATTAACTGTGTGTGTGCGTGTAAGGAGTGGAAACAGGCAGGATGCTCCCCCTCACCTAGATCAGGGCCCCATTGAGCACACACTCAGCGAGGAGAGCGTCCAATCGAAACGCACAAAGGGTGAGAGAGGAAGTGACATCAGTAGCAGAACCAGGCACAGAATCTCTAGGTCTCCCGAGTCCTGGGCCAGTGACCTAGCCACTAGACAACAGCCTCCACATTGCCTTGTACCTGATGATGGACTCTAACCTTTACTCCTTCCTCAGGTTAAATTCCCATTGAGAACAATGGCAATTTTGCCTGAGCCAGGACTGGAGCACTGAGCACAGCATCTGGGAATACGGTTTTTCATTTGTGCGTGATGCACAGCAGCATGGAACAAAATATAGGTCTGACCGAAAGAGTGATTCTGTAGGCATCTTGCTGGGGGTTATGCAGATATTTTTCCATGGAGGTAGAGCATCTGTGTGCATATGGACCTGAAGGCACAGATAACCCTATCCCAGGAGACAGCCTCAGAGTTGTCATTATGACTCCCACCAAGTTCCCAGCCAATGTGCTGCATTGCAGTGGCTGCAGACAGTAGAATTATGGTTTGAAAAATAAAATACTTACAGGCTCTGGGGGCGGCGGTGGCGGAGGCTCCTTGATGACCTACGACATGCAGGCAATGGAAAGAATCGGAGTTAAAGGTACATTTTATATCCCTGTCACTGCCTGTGTCCCCCTGGGCTCGGTCCTTCTCTGTCCCCCTGGGCTCACATTACAGGTTGGCGCAGAAGGATTTGATTTTTATCGGTAAACGTCAATTTCACCGCGCACACACAAACCGGTGAAAAAATATTACCATTGATAATCATTGAAATGTACAGAGAGACAAAGTGAGAACAATGCTACCTGAGAGTTTGATTTAAGGATATTTACTTTGTATATTTTGATGTGTGATGTTGACAAGTTGTGCTTTAGTGGTTATAAAGCTTTAACTATTTGAATCTCAACGTCTACTGTCATTAAAGGATTATTGTCTGGCCCCTGCCCATTGTTTGCCTCCCCTCCATTGTCTGCCCCCCCAACTTTGAAAAGTTTCCTGCATCGGTGAAAAGTTAAATTGATAAAAATAAAAGCTTAAAAATAAACATTGATATCCACTGTCATTATAAAAAATAAAAATTGAATTCTGCCAAGTCTAATTTTAGGTGGGCGCCCATCTTTGTATCTACGGTTGTCCTCTCTCTCCCAGCAGTGATGCTACAGCATTCAGCAGGCAGGGCTGGCTCCCTGCACAGTGACCTTTAGTACCACTGAACAGATCAGCTGGCAGGAGACCGCTGACAGAACAGGATAGCTGGCACCTTTCCTTTGGGACAATGGCTGGCATGCAGTGCGGTATGTGTGATCTCCGCCAGCTGGTAGAGACGGGATCGCAGAGATTCTCCTGCCTGCTGATGAACTGAGCTATCACCAGCCAGCCCTATCCATCTAGACTGGCACGTAACTGGGCCTGACTTGCTTTTCACTTCCCCTGGGCCAGCAGTCAGGAATAATGACACTGAAGCCAGTGTAGTGGCACTGTGGTCAAACTGGCGTAGATGAGTCACCAATGCTTATATACAGGGCTGCCCAGAGGATTCAGGGGGCATGGGGCAAAGCAATTTCGGGGGCCCCTTCCATAAAAAAAAGTTGCAATACTATAGAAAACTATATTCTCGTGGGGGCCCCTGTGGGGCCCGGGGCCTGGGGCAAGTTGCCCCTCCCCCCTCTGGGCAGCCCTGCTTATACACCAGATTGAATCACCCATAATATAGACTCAGATTTTCTGAGTTCAAACTTTCCCTTAACTGAACAGGTCATTTGAGTCCAACGCTACTGCGAAACATTAACCCACGAATTGAAATGTCCATCATATGAAATGCATTTCAAATGGAAGTAAGAGCATACACACACACATCCTCATCATATCTAGCGCTTTCCATCCCTAGATCTCACAGCACTCTACCAGGAAAACCAGTATCTTTAACCCCATTCCATACAGGTGGGAAATGGAGGCACGGAGAGAGGAAGTGACTTGCCCAAGTCACCCTGCAGCTTGGTGGCAGAGCTGGAAATGCAATTCACACCTTCTGGTTCCTAGTCCTATACTCTAACAAACCGACCCTGCTGCCTCACTTCAGATTCAGCAAAGCTCTTAATCACCTGCTTAACTTTCAGCATGTACTTGAGTCCCATTGACGTCAATGGGACCAGGCACAGGTTTATGTGCTTTGCTGAATCGGGGCCATACAGATACATCAGTTTATATCCCAAGATGAAGACGATTCATGCCTGCTCCTCTCATTGTCTATTGAGCATCTCTCCAGGCTTTTAACCCCAGCTTCCGGCAGAGAGCAGAAGAAACTAAGCCACGAAGATCAAAGTCCATACTCACCACCGTGCAGCACAAAGGCCAGAACCACCAAAGCAGCGCCAAGGCCAGCAACAGGAACAGAATTAAGAGTGCGATGAAAAGGATCGTCCCACTGAGCTGCAAACAAGACAATTGTTTCCAGATTACCTTAATATGACACAAGTTTGGCAGGCTAACACCAGCAGGAGACCCTATGGCTGCGCTGTTAGACCTGGAGAAGAGGAGCTGGTTTGCTTCACTACAGATTTTAATCAGATTATACAAAGAATAGAGAATTAGTGATTATTGTCATTGGGACTGGATTCTACGCTCAGGGACATGAATTAATATTTCAAGCCCTGATACAGGAACGCATCCCTCTTCAGCAAGGGCATTTATGCACATGCTTGTGTCTCATTGGCTTCAATGGCATTCAGGCAGGTGGTTAAGTGATCTGCTGAATCGGAACCCAAGGATGTGATCCTGAAGACAACATTCCCCAGTGTCTCTGGTGGGGCGTTTTGCCTGATTTCCGACTGCAGGATCGTTCTATGGATACTCAGGCATGCAGCGAGCCATGACTGACTGTATCTTCCAATCCCTTAACTGTACAAATGGGCCATTTTGCTACAATACTCTCATTCATGGGGTAATAAATTAGGCGCAGGTGACATGTTTGACATCCGTACTATGCCAATCTTTGGAACAAAGAGTTTACGTTCTTGCTTCCTGTATTCAAACTGCTTCCTGATGTAGACAATGTTCTAGCCTGGTAGGCATTTAACGCCACATTGTCAAGTGCTCAGCACCCATAATTGGGGCTACGATTTTAAAAGGGTCCAACACCCAGCGGCTCTCACTGTGACACTTGTGCAGACATGCACCCAAAGCCACTGAGCACTTCTGAAAAATCGGCCACTGGTTTTGGTGTCTATATCAGAGCCAAGCTCTTTGGATTGTGAGTTCTGAGCCCTTCTGAAAATTCTGGTCTTCATGGGTTAATCTGGAAAGTCTTGCGAAACCAATCACTAGTTGTATCCCTCTGCAGATTTTTGTAATAAAACACTCACCCTAAGTGACACCACACAGGCCCCTGTGCACTGTCTGCAGCCCAACACAACCTCTTCAAGGAACAAAGAGCCTTTTTGACAAAAAATAACCCTTGCTACAAGATGGAATGTTGCATGCTGGGATCTGTAGTTTCCATGGGCTGCATCAGGCCAGCTGGTGATGTTAAGAGCTAGCAGTAAAACTTTAGCCCTGCTGCCCTAGTGATCCTATTATCCATGCTAATGGAAACCTCCTCAAAGTCAATTACATTATATCAAAGTTTGTGTTGGATGATCTCAGTGTCATAAGGGTAACAGGGCCAACCTGCTGAAAAATTGCAAAACCTGGGAGTGAAATGGAGGAGGGGCTAGGAGCAGATTAGATAAGATTGTTAGGAAATAGGTAATATAAGACTGGAAATAGGTTGGTGGAGGGGCTGGAGAGGAAACCTCAGGAGGAAGGGGAAGAAAAGACACTTACTGTACAGAAAAGGACAGAGGAGCCAGCTGAGAATGAGGGCCGAGGAGGCCAGCTTGCTGCCGTTCCCAGCAAAGGAAACGGGAGAGAAAGGAAATGGAAGGATCCTCTAAAACGATAAAGAAAGAACTGAATGTATGAGATTCCACACAAGCCTGAAAACATATTTGCAAAGAGTGGGCCAGACCCTCAGCGGTGCAATCTGATTTCAATGGAGCTAGGCTGCTGCTCATCAGCTGAGAATCGGGCCCCTGGTCTTGCTTGTTTTTAAGCTACAAGTGACTTGGAGTGCTGGTGAAAAGTGGCAGATTGACAGCCTTGGAGATTGCAGTCCTCTGTTTACCCCAAGGCAATGGCAATGCATGCCTTCCCCAGCAGCCTGGCTGAGCTCTGACCTGCAGGGACCCCCGCTAGGGCTAAGAGTTCAATCTCCATTAGAAGCGCATGAAGCACCGGTAACCAAATGACAGTGAGTTAAAATTCACGGTCCATAACCAACCCAAAACTGGGCCTATCATTGCAAAAGGTTTTGCTGCAGCAGCCCGAGATGGCTTTGAAGGGCACGTAGGTGTAAAATGCGTGTTGTCTGGGTGTAAAATCCCCATGTCATTGCAATCCTTGCAAAGTTTGGAGGGGGTCTTGAAACCAGGTGAAATGGAAAAAATGTCCCTGCTCAATTCCAAGTGACTAAACACTGTGACTTTCCCACAGCTCTGGGATTTAATTTCCCAGCATGGTTGCTGAAAAAGTCAGACACCTCCGCCACATGGATTTCGGCACCCATTCCTTTCATGGCCTCTGCGCTGACGCTGCCACAAAGGGGCCCAATGAAGGAATACTATGTGTGATGACAGCTTTGTGACATAGCCTGTAACCATCAACCCCTTCGAATAGCCATCAGGCCGCACCGACACTGAGCAGAACTAAGGTCACCTTGACACCTATGACCTTGGTGTAAAATGCTTGTTATCCAGCTATTATGGCAAACCTCCTGTCACTTCAACTCATGAGTCCAGATCCTAGGCTGGTGTAAACTGATGTAGCTCCACTGCCTCTCTGCTGATTTACACCAGCTGGGGATGTGGCCTATTCTCTCCCCTGAGGTGCAGTGAGCAGATCACTCATCATAGTTGGCTTCCTAGCTTGGATTATTTGATTGCTTCTAAAATTAATCTTCCCTAAAAGGTCATTTGGGGCTGTTGACTCCTGACCTGCTCCCCCATGGCAGACAGACGCCAGCCCAGCCATTTCTCTCCCCCTCTCCCATCAGTATCAGCGGCACAGAAAACTCTCCCTTGGCTGGGTGACAGAACAGCCCCTCCAGGAAAAGCTCATCCCAGCACTTGGGGCTACTGTCCCTTTATGCCCCTCCCCATACCAGGAAGGCCAACCCTCACCCCATTCCAGTGGCAAACACCACCCCCTAATAAATGGGAATGAGACAGGGCAACAGATGATGAATAGCGGTGGACTGCCAATACTTTCTGGGGGGGTTGGCTTCCTCCAGGGGTCCATGGGCCCCTCCCAGCCCAGGTCTGAGATCTGCAGTTCTCTCTTTCCTGGGGTGGGGGAAGATATTCTTGCACTTATTTATTAGTCACGATCCAGGCATGGATTGCAATCACTAATGAACTGCTCTCAGCCATCCCTCGCTGCTTTTTAGTGCACTGCCGGGATCGGCTCTGCAATCGCGACGGAGAAGAGCCCTTCCCTGGAGAGCAGCCCTTTCTTTTCAAGGTGCTTCTGGTGGCTCTGTCCCATACTTACACACTGTGTGCTGGTGATGCTGACAGAGCTGGAGATGAACGTTAGCCCGCTGTTCATGCTGACTTGGAGGAAAACCACCCTAAAGCACAAACAGATACATTTATTTTTAGTGTCATCTTTATACCCACTGTTCCCCTTCTTCCTGGCCATTGGCTCCTGAACGCATATCCTGCCTAGTCAATGTAGTTATGTGACGGCAGGTGCTCACCTGCATCTGACTGTTTGCTTGCCCAAAAGCCAACATTGTAACGTTGGCTAAACTGAGTTGGGGCATATGTTCTTTATTAAGAGACTCCATTCTCCCTGGGGGTACAGGGCACGAGCTCAGTGACTTAGAATGCTACGTCTCAGACATTTGCAATACGACCTGTGCTAGAATGGGAAGCTACAGGTTTAAGCTGCAGCAGGGAATACTGTGGGGTCACACTGGGCTCTCCTTTTCACAGGGATGAACCCTGAGCATAGCCACCGAAGTTAACAGACTTCCTCTGGATTTACGCCAGGGTAACTGTGAGCAGAATCTGGCCTTAGGTTGGAGGGCATGTTCTCAGCTGGTGTACATTGTCATTGGCATACACCAGTTTAGCACCTGTGCCTAAGAGTCTAATTCTGCTTAAACCCCACCTAGCTATTTAAATACTTATCTAGCCACCCTCACTATAGTATCTGAGCACACAATGGGATTGCATGGGGGTAAGATGGGGAACAATTCAACCCTTTAACTTTAACAGGGGGTTGGGTCATGAAACAAGTTGCTGAGGTGGGTGGAGGAGTCACCATCATTGGCAAGAGCAGAGAATATCCAAACACAGGAAACTAAATTTGATTCATAAATAAAGACACTTGAAATCCATCCCCCCTCTTTCTTGCGGGGGAGGGGTGTCAAAATGTGAAATGTGCTTGAAATTCAATACAATCTCAATCCGCTCTAGAGTTAGATGCAAAATGTGGGGAGGAGGGGACATCACATACATTCAGAATTGCTGATATTCAAAATTGATGGAGCACATCCTCAACATTCAAAGCAATTCCTCCTTCTCTGCTCAGTAGTCTAGTTCACACAGATTAGTCTCTCGGCTACCAGCGATTGTTTAGGGAGAATTAAATTAAACCTCCCGTGAAGCAGGAAGACAGACGAAATGCTTGACTAGAACTCTGGGAGATGAAACCTGAAACCATGTGAAGTTTGCCTAGTGCCGCTTTGTTGCAAATTTGAAGCCGAGCCCAGGATGCGCTAAAAGGTTCACAGACGTGCTTGGATTTACGTGGTTCCCATGGTACCCTGTGTAATTTGCAGTTTCAGAGTCAAACAAGGTAATATTTGGGAGTTTTCTGCTTTTGGATTTTACAGTTGTTTGAACCAACCCAGAGAAAAGCGGAAGGAAATGTCTGTACAGGCCCCTGCAAAGCGAACCTCTGAGATCTGCAGCTTTGCATCCCGCTCAGATGACTAGGAACTAAACTCACATGTCCTGGTGCAGCACCACTAACATCAATGGCATTGCACTAAGGAGAATGTGGCCATTTGCCCGTGTAGTCAGAGGGCCAGATTCTGTCCTCAGTTAGGCTGGTGTGAATTTGTAGGGATTTTATTTACAATGCATTAAAAGGATCAATGGGCCCAATCTCCCCCCCCCCCCTCGCCCTGCACCTTGTGTAGTCCTTTCTGCCTAGGCAGAGTGGATGTAACATGCCACCAGCTAAGAATGGCTGCATTTCACACCCACTCTTTGCCCTGGTGAAACTCACTATGAGGCATTGATCAGAGCTCCTGAATGCAACTATTCTACACCCTACTGCACTGATTCCACACTAGTGCGAGACTTCATTCGTTACTCCTGAGTTACACCACCGTACATGAGAGCAGAAGGATGGCCAGAAATTCAGTCCCCTCATGCATCCCTACTATTCCGCATGCCCATGAACAGCAGGAAGTTGTGTGCGGTGATGGAAATGTGCCCCAGGCGATTATGGTAGGGTTGATGTGGAAGCTGTAACTTTCAAACCCAATGTGACGAAGTGGGAATTTTTTTGGAATATTTGTATGAAGAATATGTGTGCCTCAGTTTCTCCTATATGCGGCATTGCTACCTAGTGGGTGAAAAGGGCATGTTTGCTCTCAGATCAGGCTAAGACACAGGTAGGAATGGGGCCTAGCTGTCTGGGGCCTCACGTCCCATATCAATGGAGCGCTTGAGAAGACAATGGCAAAGCCAATTGCCTGGGCATGGACACCTAGCAACCAAGGGCCCAGAGAGATATGGACTGCCCTGCCTCTCCGCCGCCTCTCCTCAGGTCAGGAACAAAGGACTGGGGGGGAGCGGGGAATGAGGTGGACATTAAGCGTTGGCTGTGGGGGCACACATGTCAGACAGACGGGGAGACAGAGCTTGAACAGTCGGGTTCACTGCAGCTTGGCTGGGCTCTGGATTGTGCTTTAACCTTCATTCCTCTGGGCCAACCAAGGCCTTCCTATGTGCGTTCCAGCTGACTAATAAACCCGGCAGTGTGACAACGCTGGATGTGTCCCTGCAGGTGCTAGCAGAGGAGGTGCGTTGCTCCCTAAGACTGCACAAGTCTCCCTCAGGGGTCTGTCCCAGTGGGACTTGCTGAGCTCCCGGTGTGAAGCAGGAGTGCTGAAGGCCCACAGGTCCCATCTAAGGAGGTGGTGAAGCCAGTGGCTTACCCTGGGGGAAGAGTGAGACCCCCTAGAGGGTCTGGCACACTGCAGGGCTCCTCCCAATGACTGTTCCAAAGCTGGGGCTGCAGCACCGACCCTGTGGATCTGTGATACCCGATATGTTGTCTTCAACTCTCTTTTTACCAGCGGACCCAGACGCAATGCTCTGCCCATGTGTTTGGGTGAAGCATCACACAGTCTGATCCCTGTCCCTCCTGCACGATGCACTGCAGGGCCCAGCTCCTCAAGGAGGCATCACGACGACCGAGTGCACTGGCAAGTTATGGAATATAGACCGGAGGGGCAGGCTGCAGCCCCTACCACCACCACTTCAAAAGGCAGCAGGGCCATGAGGGGCCCCATGCTGAAGTGTGCCCAGGGTCCTGCACTGCCTGAGCCCAGCCTTGAATGGAGCCATGCTGACATACCCCAGGGGAGGGTCTGGTCCATCAGGATGATGCTGAACCTGCCAATGAACATCTGAAAAGCCTCACATGCCTGAGCTCCTTGCTTAGTCCTTTTTAGGCAAAACACCTGCTGATCCCACAGCCAACACCTCCTCTCCTTCAGCCCAGGCTGCAGAGCTGTACTTACTGTCCAATGTCTTCTATTACTGGTGCAGGGCAAAGCAAATAGGTGTCTTGAACAATAGTCGGTTTTTCATCTAAAAGGAAACAAGACAGACTGTAATGTACGGAAAGGGCGGTGTCTCCTGAATGGGCTCAACACGGAGGGCTGCTGTTGACATCAAGGAGAGCTGCAGGTGCAGGATCAGGCCCAGTGTGGACATGGCTCAGAACAGGTCCTTGTCTTTAGGGGTTTTACTTGTCATTCCAGATCACAGCTGTGACATTGCCGGCTCAAAACATTCAAAGGGCACCCTCAGGATGGGTCACCTACATGTTTGGCTTAGTATTGTGCATCTTGAACGCAGTGTTGTTGTAGTTGGGTTGGTCCCAGGATATTAGAGGGACAAAGTGGGTGAGGTCACATCTTTTACTGGGCAATCTCTTGACTGTTTCTCTCACCAACAGAAGTTGGTCCAATAAAAGATGTGACCTCACTCCCCTTGTCACTCTATTGAGCATCTCGTCTGCTTGCAAAGTCCATCTAACTGCCCCCTCCAAATCAAATCCTCTTATTTTCTATCCCAGTACCACTCTGAGGAGTCCCATGCTGTCATGGAGAAGTCTCCAGCCACCGTCCTACAGTGACCACCCAGTGGGCGTGTGCAATGGCAGACGCAGCAGATTAAGGGTATCAGTTCCATGTTTTGGTGGCTCTGTGTCTGGAGCCCCCACTCCACATGCAAAGCATGCCTGTGATGGGGCCAGCTCTGCCCCCTCGGCACTGATTGGTGAGAGGATGGCCAGAGGAGAGCAGCTGTCCTCTCCTCCTTTGCAGCTGATCAGAGATCTGGCACTCCCTGCAGCTCCCCATCGGAGGGTGGGAGTGCCACTCCACGGTGGGTAGGTCAGCCAGGCCAAGTGAAGACAGATGATTGGCTACAGGCCACCTGGTCTGCTGTGCACCAGCTGGCTTATGGATACCCTTGAAAAAGGGAGCCTGCAAAAGGTGGCCTGGTACTGCTGTCTGCAGGTGCACAGCAGGCCCAGACACAGCCTGAGCTCAGAACTAGGAGAGGGGCCCAGGGAGCAGCTGAGGTGTATGGCCAGAGAGAGACCCAGGGGAACCAGGTTTGGCTAGAAAGCAGCCCAACCACCAGTCCCAGGGGAGCTCCCAGACGGTGTGATTTTAGGGTTAGCATGGGGTGCCAGCCTACCCCAATCCTGGAGGCCAAATTCTGTCTACAGGGGAGGATGAGCCCCAGCAGCAGCTGTGTGAGTTTCCCCACACAGTCCCTTGGCCAGCGTGCAACATCCTACTCGTCTGGAACTGAGAGAGGAACTGTGTTCTCCACAGTCCATGTGCTCCTTGGCCCTCCCTGCTCAGTCTTCCAAGGGGGAAATAATGTTGCTGAGTTTTAGGGCCAAGCTGACTGCAGAGAAAGAAGCAGACCCCCAGCTGGGATAAATCAGTGTGGCTATACATCAATCGACACTAGCTGAGGGCCTGGCCCAAGGGAAGCCAAGCAGTGAAGGGATGCAGAGGTAGGGTGCTTTTCTTTATGCATACTTCAGCACCAGCTCTGCCGGGATCAAATACAAACAGGTGAGGTGCTTCATCAATAGGGGGAATGGTCAGAAAGCCCGAGAGATGTCAACATCTGGCTATCTGCACCACGTGGAACCCCACAGGAAACAGACTGCCTCAGGCCCAGGGCATCTGAAAGTGGACTGGGATGGAGACCACCAGTTTCCTGAACTGCCACGTCCAAGCACGCAGCCAGAAGAGGAAAAGGAGCAGCAATCTATGTGTTTTTTCTTGCTGGAGAAAGGCAGCCACCTGATTGACAGCCACAGAGTATAAAAGTCCCTACTGTGTTCAGCCAATAATGATGGTATGAGCAGAAGTGGGCAAACTCCTCCACTCATGTGCATCACTCATGACGGACTCAGGCAACTTCTAGACGTGGTGGGGAGAGGGGCATCTCTTTGGCCCATTCAAGCCTTAGCTTGTGTGCCGAGACTGCCCGCAAGGGGCTCAATTTAGCACAGTTGTGCTCGGTTTTGTGTTATGATACTTTAGACCAACTCATTTCACAGAGGGACTGAACAGGCCTCCAATGGCACCAGCCCTTGGTCACTCCTCCTGAGCCAGTGAAACTGACATGTGTCTGAGCACAGCATCCCAGGATCAGGACAGCATCAGTCTGTGTTATTAACAGACACGAGAGTGGAGGGCAATTTCACGTCTCCCCACCCCCCACCCACAGTACCAGGCGGGCTGTATCTGAGTGGACAGCAAGTCAAACCATCTCCACTGTTGCAGTGAGGATGAAAGACCCAGAACAAAGCCTGGGCTCTACCTTCAGAGTATGACTTAAGTGATTCCCAGGTCTTGGGATTGCACAGGGATGAATTTGACCCCTAGTATGGGACTAGGGCCCTAAAGAACGCCCACCAGAGTCCATGCAAAGACTCGCATTGACTCCAAGAGGAGCTGGGATCCTCGTGCAACTTACGGCATAAAATCGCCAGCCCATCAACTTACTGATTGTTATGGTGTCATTGATCTTGAAGCTGCAGAGAACTTGATCGATGTTTCTTGCGTGATAAAAGCCGTTTCCTCTTACCACAACTTGAAAGGATTCTGCAATGGTAAATAGAACAAACACAAATGACTGACCTTTTTCCTCTCCCCTCTCAAAGACTGCATTTCAGTCTAATCCCAGTGGGATCTGAAGTACGACATGACAGCAGCTGATTCTTGCTCTGTCTGAATCAAATGATTAATTCTGACCCTGCTGTTATAAACGACTACACTACTCTGCACTAATAGCCCAAAGCAGTGCAGGGTCGCTAGTGCAAACTAGTGGTTTATGGACCATTGCTGTAGAATAGTGGAAGACTTTTTTTAGTCCCCTAAGGGATATTTGCTTGTAACATTCTCAACAGCGTCATGTTTTGCCTCCTGTGAATTCATTTTCCCAGGGTTTGTTCCTCCCCAATATTTCAAGATCAAAAGAATATGTCAGTCCAAACACAGGCCCAGATCCTCAGTTGGGGTCAATTGCTACAGCTCCATTGAAATCAACAGAGCTACTCTGATTTACACCAGCTGGGAAGCTAGCCTATAATATATTCATCCAAAATGTGGGCTTTGCATCCAGATCCTTATTACCTAAGCACCCACAAAGCCTGAGCCCCATTTACACTGAGGCCCCTGTGTGCTGCTGGAGTGGTGTACATGAGAGACAGGGCCGCTGCATGTGACCTTGTACAAGACAAGCTCCAAGGAGCTGACAGTCTAAGCCAGCGGATGCTAATTGGACTCAGAATGCCTGGGGAGACCTGGAGGATAGTTCTGTCCCACAGCAGAGGAGGGCTGAGTATTTCATTTAGTGGATGGATGTATATAACTTGTTTCCTTTTCACGGCAGAAGGCGGCCATGGGCCATTAGATCCTCCTGAGTCAGGGAAGATGGAGGCTTCTCACCTAGTTCATCTTTCTGAGTGTCATGACTCATGGGCCTCAAACCCAGGGCCAGACCTCAACCCTCTACTTGGCAGTCTGCTGACCCAGGACACGTGAAGCCCAGCTCCAGTTTGAGGTTCCACGTCTTACGTCCTGTTACCAGAGTCCCAGAGCAGCCGATTGGCCCGTCAGCCCTACTTAAGCCAGCAACAGGAAGCTGTCCAAACACCTGGGATTCACCCTGCTCTGGACTATGTACCTGGTACCTCCTGCTTCTGCTCCCCCAGCTTGGTTTCCAGGCGTCCTGACCTGGCTTGGCTCCTCACCTCTGACTTGTGGTTCTGATCTCTGGTTTGTCTCCTGCCTCTGATCCCTGATATCCTGACCCAGCTGACTCTTGACTGCTGACAGTGGACTATGTCAACTAGGACTACAACCAGGACAGAGGGTCCTTCTACAGGATCTCAGTGCTATGCAATGGAGTTCACCCCGCTAGGCCAGAGGGTGATCTTTAAAGGGCCAGGATTCTAGCAGGCCAGTGCAAGGTACCAAGACCAACTGTTTGGCATTTAGTGACTTTTGAAAATGTGGCTCTGCCACATGCCTAGACGAAAGGTGCTACAATAACATCACGGGTCTGATTTGGATTGCACTAGTCCTGGTTTCCTCCCGAGTAACTCCACTTTGGTTGACACCCATGTGAATGAGGGAGGCACCAGGCCCTATGTGTGACAACCCAGGGCACAATGCTCCTCCCAGACCCACATGGGAGATCACCTCGCCAATACGCTTCTATCCCAGCAGCAGTTCCATTCCCGGAGAGATGGCAGAATGGAGACTCCTCCCCCCCACAACGTAGATTAGAGAGGAGAGGTTTGCCTTGGTACAAACCCTGGTGAAACATGACATAAGAACATAAGAATGGCCGTACTGAGTCAGACCAAAGGTCCATCTAGCCCAGTATCCTGTCTACCGACAGTGGTCAATGCCAGATGCCCCAGAGGGAGTGAACCTAACAGGTAATGATCAAGTGATCTCTCTCCTGCCATCCATCTCCACCATCTGACAAACAGAGGCTAGGGACACTATTCCTTACCCGTCCTGGCTAATAGCCATTAACGGACTTAACCTCCATGAATTTATCCATTTCTCTTTTAAACCCTGTTATAGTCCTAGCCTTCTCAACCTCCTCAGGCAAGGAGTTCCACAAGGTGTGGGAGGGAGGGAGAGAGAGTGTGAAGGAAAACGGCAGCTGCCAATCTATTAGTAACTCCCATGATGCTCGCACGGGTTGGCCCTTGTGTGGATAGAAAGGTCATAGGTTAGAAAAGGTTCAGAGGAGGGCAACTAAAATGATTAGGGGTTTGGAACGGGTCCCATATGAGGAGAGATTAAAGAGGCTAGGACTTTTCAGCTTGGAAAAAAGGAGACTAAGGGGGGATATGATAGAGGTATATAAAATCATGAGTGATGTGGAGAAAGTGGATAAGGAAAAGTTCTTTACTTATTTCCATAATACAAGAACTAAGGGCCACCAAATGAAATTAATGGTCAGCAGGTTTAAAACAAATAAAAGGAAGTTCTTCTTCACACAGTGCACAGTCAACTTGTGAAGAAGAACTTCCTTTTATTTGTTTTAAACCTGCTGCCTATTAATTTCATTTGGTGGCCCCTAGTTCTTGTAATATGGGAACAAGTAAATAACTTCTCCTTATTTACTTTCTCCACATCACTCATGGTTTTATATACCTCTATCATATCCCCCCTTAGGGCAGGTCTACACTAACCCCCCAATTCGAACTAAGGTACGCAACTTCAGCTACGTGAATAATGTAGCTGAAGTTTGAAGTACCTTAGTTCGAACTTACCTCGGTCCACACGCGGCAGGCAGGCTCCCCCGTCGACTCCGCGGTACTCCTCTCGCCGAGCAGGAGTACCGCAGTCGACGGCGAGCACTTCCGGGTTCGACTTATCGCGTCCAGACAAGACCCGATAAGTCAAACCCAGAAGTTCGATCGCTCGCCGCTGAACTACCGGGTAAGTGTAGACCTACCCCTAGTCTCCTTTTTTCCAAGCTGAAAAGTCCTAGCCTCTTTAATCTCTCCTCATATGGGACCCGTTCCAAACCCCTAATCATTTTAGTTGCCCTCCTCTGAACCTTTTCTAACCTATGACCTTTCTATCCACACAAGGGCCAACCCGTGCGAGCATCATGGGAGTTACTAATAGATTGGCAGCTGCCGTTTTCCTTCACACTCTCTCTCCCTCCCTCCCGCACCTTGTCCCCAGCAGAAACAAACGGTGGTCCAGGAAAAGGCCAGCCACATCAGACGTACTCCAGCTGTCTGCTGGTCAGAGCACTAGCACACGCTAAAGCTGCCCCGGAGCTGCTGCTCTGGCTTGTGCAGCTTCTGTTGTGAAGGGGGAAAAAAAACAACCTGTGATTTTTTCCTTCATAAGTAACTGTGCTTGGCTCCCGTTGGCAGGAAATGCCTCTTCAGTCTTTTCAGCTCAATTGCCCCCACCTGTCACCTGAGCAAGCCCAGAGAAGAAGGTAGGCAAGATGGGCTAGTGGTCACAGCACTGGACTGGGCCTCAGGGGCCTGGGATCCATTTCCATCTCTGCTACAAGCTGCTGGCGTGATCTTGGGTAAGTCGCTTCTTCAGTGCCTCACTTCTCTGTCTCTAAAATGGGGACCGCACTTCCCCGGCAGTAGTGCCTGGAAGATGCTCAGACACTCCAGTGATGAGGGACATGTACATACTGAAAGGGGGGTTGCCTTCCTCCATTAGCAAACCTGGATTTGAAGGCAGCAGAAGTTTCAAACTTCCCAGCTAGATCTCTTGGGAATAAGAAACAGCCTCTGTTCCCTAACAGGGCCTGATCTGAAAGGCACGCAGACTTTGGCGTGTTTGAAATGGGAACCCTAGATCTGCAGACAGCCCCAGTTTTTATAATGGGCTAAACCCAGTCATAGGATCATAGAAATGGAAGGGACCTCGAGAAGTCAAGTCCAGCCCCATGTGCTGTGCCAGGACCAAGTAAAGCTAGACCGTCCCTGACAGGGGTTTGATTAACGCTTCCAATGAGGGGGACTCCACTACCTCCCTTGGAAGCCTATTCCAGAGCTTAACTACCCTTAGAGTTAGAAAGTTTTCCCCAATATCCCACCTAAATCTCCCTTGCTGCAGATGAAGCCCATTGCTTCTTGTCCTACCTTCAGTGGACATGGAGAACAATTAATCACCATCCTCTTTATAACAGCCCTTAAGATATTGGAAGACTGTTGTCAGGTTCCTCTCAGTCTTCTTTTCTCAAGACTAAACATGCCCAGTTTTTTTTTCAAACTTTCCTCATAGGTCAGGTTTTCTAACCCACCCATTGCCTGAACTCCCCTGATCTCGGAGGATGTTTGTAATCCAGCTGCACAAACAGTTCTAGATCTTGCAAGTGGCCCCTATGTATACAAGGCGCTGACTCAAGACCTCCAGCCAAACCCTCCCCAACCTTGGGATGTCCAAAATTCTGGATCTAAGTTCTGCAGCATGCAGCCATCTCTACTTCTTAGTGCTCTTAACTAAATTCAGTGGAAAAGAAGGGTGGATTTTTTCAGTCTTTCTTTTCATTTGTTTCTCCCACTTCAATCCACAGGACAGCATGACTGAACACAGGACCGGCTCACAGTGTGTGCATGAGAAATGGAAGCTGCTTACAGACTGCACAATCAAAGGACCAGTTTGCTCTCACTGGGCACACAAAACTTTCATTGTCATAGACAGTCGTGCACTCAGAAGGAGAGAAAATTAATCCCCATTATAATAACAATGCAAATTCTATGGGGAGAGCAGGCCTCTAAATAGGAATGAGAGACCCACCTAATAGTCAGGGCCCGCTCCAGGCACCAGCTTGGCAAGCAGGTGCTTGGGGCGGCCACTCCGGAGAGGGGCGGCAGGTCCAGCTATTCAGCGGCAATTCGGCGGACGGTTCCTCACTCCCGCTCGGAGCAAAGGACCTTCCGCCGAATTGCCGCCGCAGATCGCGATCGCGGATTTTCTTTTTTTTTTTTGGCTGCTTGGGGCAGCCAAAACTCTGGAGCCGGCCCTGCTAATAGTGTAACACTATCGCTTGCTGCTTGGGTTTACTAGGGACTTCTATTAACCAAGTTGAGCAGGGA